TACACACTGTGACTGTTTCTCTCTACAATTTCCTGTCTCCGATGTACCGTTTGTGTTCCGGAAGGGTTCTTATTTTCATAGATGTCGATTTTCGAAAGAAATCAGTTAATTTATTTTAGTTCGGCTTTTAGTACTAGTATTCTTATGTTACACAATTGCACAAGAATATAAGTACAGACCATCTAAACATTTTTTAATAATATTTCTTGGAGGCCGTTCAGAAATTTTTTCTGCTGGGATCGTTTTAGTAATAATTGTTTGATTGATGGAACAATATATCAATTATTCGTTATAGGTTCTATGGTAATGGTTTCGTAAAAACTGCAGCTGTTATTGGTACTCCTACTTACTTGATCCTCCTGTATATTCCCCATTGAAGATATAGAACAGAATGCGGACTTGCGATAGGAACACTTCGTTTTGATCACACTGATCTCATTTTTTAATTCTACGATTTTTTAAGTAAAATTAGATTAAAAATTAAATTCTGTTATTCTGTACCATACATTCTAGTCAACGCAAATGTTTTACATAATTTAAGTTAAAATTCAAATTACTATTAATTCTTAAAACTAGTTATCTCGTTAGAATATATTTTAGTTAATTCTAGTTGTAAAAATTACAGAATTTAAAAATTATTAATTGTATTTATTGTTATTTGCAGTTAACACAACCGGTTCAATTTCATATTTTATTCTTGTTTCAGATTGCTCAGATCCACAGCCCACTTGAGCAGCGATCCAACCATAGGCCTATTCCGATCTCCGAAGGATATTCGATTGATATGTTAATAACTACTGCACGTTGTATTTGTAAGCTGAATATATACCATACCGATTATATTTCATTGTATATATTTTTTATGTACAAATAAAAAAAAAAAAAAAAAAAAAAAATATTCAAAAAATATTAAGCTAAATAATTAAAAGATTTGCAAAGCCTGCTTTCCTTCGAAAATCAAAGTAAATTCGGTTGTCCCCATAAAACACACGAAAATGGACACCCTGTACCACAATTATACTTTCAAATAGGTAGTATAAAGTGATGCCAACCAATCCAACAAGTTTGCAGTCAAAAATAATTCTGACCTCCTTGACAAAATGGTGAAAAAAAAAAAAATTTTTTTTTTAAATGCTTTTTAAAAAAATTTTAAATGATCCACCAAATTTACAGTCAAAATTAATTCTGATCTTCTTGACAAAATGGTGAAGTTTTTTTAAAAATGCATTTTAAAAACCAATAAATAAATAACATTAATTAAAATACTTTTGACCAACGAGATTTTTTTTTTGAAAATGAAATTTTTTTTTTTATTATATTATAATAAATACCTCTTTTTGGGCCATTCGATAGAGAATTTTAAGCTCTTCTCTATGCCAAATTGCAGCTCTATCGGAGATACTTTAATTTGTCTGTAAAATGTCGCCAAAATTTTGAGATTTCATTGCAAAGATCTAATCTAAATCTTGTTTTTGTATAAATCTTTTGTCTTTTTTTAAAAAAAAAATCATTATAAATCTAATAAACACTTTATTTATTCTGTTAAATATATATTTTCTTTTAGGCACATCATTATTTATGCAGCAAAAAATCATCATGACTGGGCGACGTTTTCCTTTGTGGGAAGTTTTTTAAGACTTTTCTGGTAGAAAAAGTGAATTTTCTGTGCACTATTTGAGCTTATTCTGTCCCTTAAGGCCTGTTTAATCTACTGAAAATGTAAGTACCCATTGTTTTGATGTAATTGATTGTTCAGGTAAAAAAGCATTTTCAACATCGTTTAAAGTAAATCAGCGTGTTAATAATATCACACAAGAGAATGGTGTCTTTCTTTATCCTTTCCCAGAAGAGGAGACCTGGATCATCCTCTAACTATGATGTTCGGCCCTCAATGACCTGCATAGCAAGTACAAGTACCTGAGGAAGTTACTACCCTCCATGTCTAAAAGCTGGCCGAGGCTGAAGGTATTTATTGACCATAGGTTAAATTAGCTGGGGGCAGGAAGGTAAAACATCAAAAATCACATCAGGAGACGAAAGATTTTCTATAAGAGGAGTTTTATAAAGATTGTAGTCTATCTTCAACTACGCCAGTAGAAGAAATTCAAGTAAGTTTTATTTTTATTTAATATATGAAAGTAGTTTCCAAAAAAAATGAAAAAAAAAAAAACATTTTGCTTTTTCTAAAATGGTTAATCCGATTTATACTTTTCAATTCCATACTGTTAGAAACTTAGAAATTATGAGAATATCTGTTGTAGCAGGTATCTTTTTCATTCTGTGATAGATGGTTTTATTAAATTTAATGATTAAAAATAATTTTGTTTTAACAAAAAAAATATTTTGCTATTTTTTTTTTTTTTGATTTTTGGGAAAGTAAAATGTTAATATTTTGTTTTGAGTTGTATATTATGGAAAATATACATATATATAAAAAAAAAAAAACAATTTTAAAATAAATTTAGTTTGCTATATTATTACACTTTTTATGAGAGCAGTATACTATTGTATATAGTATAGTGTCATAGTAAAGCTGATGTTTTTAACTGGCTTTGCCTGTTGTGATACATGATTTAATCATAAAAAAACATTTTTTTTTTTTTAAATAAATATGTATAGCCTAAAGGGGTAATAAATGATAATATATAGGGGATTTCAAGATTTTTTTAATATGCAAGAGTAAAAGCCAATCTATTCTATCAATTATCTACAATATAAAAACTTACTAACTAACTTTTCTAAATTAATCAGCGAAGAATAAAATTATGCATTACTTAAAACCAGGGCCAAGGTTAAGCATCATCCAGTTCCTAGAGTGGTCACTTCCTTGGGAACGCTAAGCAGGTCCCCAGCATATATTTAGTCGATACAGGTCTGCTTTTGGCCGCTATTAAGTCCCATTGTGCTAAAATTTACTTTCTTCCCTACAAATAATATTAAACAGTAATATACTATGGTAAAATATTTTCATTTTTTACGGTCAAAAAACTATTAACTAATGTTTTAATTACCTTCTGCTGTTATGAAATAATATTTTGGCATTTGGTGTTTGGATTGAACTAGCAAGACTCTTATTTTTTGTTACCTTTTTTTGATTTGATTACATGTGTAGAAGCATCGACCTAAGATGTGAAGTACAAACAAATTTACTTTTGAAATAAAAACAATAATTTTTTTTTTTTTTTTTTTTTTTATTTTAATTATTAGTTTCTAAAAAATATGAATATGTCTCAATTCTTTGAAATATAACAGTGTGTTCGTAAACGGTCAATATCACCATGGTTTAAATCACTAATTCCACTTTCAGTGCCTTGCGCGTGCTAGTTTTTTCTGTGGAGTTTAAAAATGAGAGACAATTTTAGGAAAATATAACCGAATTTCAAAGTATTTTTCACTTTCTTTGAACACATTCATTTTAAAATCAACTGTCACTAAATAATGCCATTTGGCGTTAGTTTAATAATCATAAAAATACCCAATTAACTTGATTTATAACTAATTTACTAAGAAAGTTATATGATTTGTTGCAAATATTTTCTTTAAATTCTGTAAGCGTTAAAACTGTAATATGTATATATTTAAAAAAAAAAAACTAATTTAAAAATTTATATAGAAAACTTGGCAACCAGTAATACACCTTTGGTATACGTCATTGCCTTAATATCTCACCGGTCGCTTCCGATAAATAATATTTATATAAAAACAAAAATGAATTTTATTTGGATATCCGCGCGGCGGCGTGCGATGTAGACTCTAATCCTAACTTTCTGGCGCTTGAGGAATGCGACGTTATGGGAACTGGCCAGCCCATAATTTAGCCCTCTTGAGTTGTTGTTAGAGAATTGTCTGCAGCTACGATGTCTGTCAAGGTGTCTGATGCGAGGCGCCGTCAAGGTTCTACCACGAATTCGGCATATTCCTAGGTACCTTCGTTTACGGGGGGGATTGTTAAGATTCGTCTAGTCGGAGAGACGACGCTTGCAATTCACCCCGTAAATGCTAGGAGTATAAACTTGGGAATGTTTTTTGTACTTTTTACTAATTCATTTTTCCCAATTATTTATAGGTAGTTCCAGCATGTTTCCAGTTTACCCCATTACGAAGTAGAACATTTTGATCAAGCAATTTAATCGTAATAACACAGTGGGGTCGAAAAAACGGCGTCAATGATAACTGGAGAATTTTCTTGCCAGCAAATAATATGTTTTTTGTTCTCCAACGGCATATCTAAAGTAACGTTGCTCCAATTTTTCTATAATAAGGTAACTTTAATTGATGTATTTCTTCATTTCTTCCCTTATTTTTGAACGTTACAGGAAGTTCGTTGGAAAATCAATCACCGCAACCGGTTTTTCTTCTCCTAACCTTAATCAGAAGTGGTTCGAAAATATATAAATGAAAACAAGAGAATAACAAAATAACAAGAAAGTTTTAACTATTATATTCTGAATTGAAAATACGTAAGCTGCATAGAAATATGTGACGTTCAGCAGACGATAATGAATGTAGTATGAAAGTAATCACGTAACAAGCCAACAAACTATCTATGAAGCTAAAAAAAGCGTAACACTAGCACCAGTTAAGTTTAAACAGTAAAAGGTAAATTAGTGTATATTTATGTTGTATTATAGGTATTTATTTCTGTTATATTATAGGTTCCATGAGTATTAAAAAATAATTCATACAAATCATGGACATTACCGTTTCAAAAATTGTAAGCTACCTTTTAACGGGAAAAAATTACATTAAACATTTAATATAAACATTTTTTTTTTTTTTCACATTGTTTTATTTAGTAGTTGGTATATTACAAATGAGTGACTACTTTACAGAAAGCTCATTGTTTTATAGATGCTCTCCTGTATGATCTCGCCCTATAACCAGAGATAAATAAGGTATTCACTTATAAAGTAGGAAACAGGATAAACTAATAGCTTATTGATAAACAAAAAGATGTAATGTGGGAATGTAAAACATAAGTTTATATTTCGTATATGTGTTTTTGCTGGGATATTTTGTACTTTGCTTGCAATTCCCGTGGAAATCAAGCTTGGAATGGCAACAGCAGCTTATCAAATTGAGGGTGGATACAACTGTGATGGTAAGTACCCTTAAAATAATCAGAATCAAGTATACTTTTACATTTTTTTTTTTTTTTTTTTTTTTTTTTTTTTTTATTTATTAGATTTTAAATCTAATAAAGAAGATTATTAAGGTGTACAAAATATTTTTAGGCCAAGGGGAAAGCATATAATTTATTCTTATACACATATACAATCAATGCAGGCAAAAAATTTGTTATATCTTAGTCTCAGAAACATGAAATTAATTAAATGACATTAAGGGCCTATTAGCATTAAAAGTAATTGTCTGCACTAGGCTAGCTGTCATAATTTTTTTGAATTTGGCCTCAAATCTAGTCTTTGCAGGGAAATATTCAATTTTATTATATCTGTGAGAATAAAATATTTTCTTCTTTAAAGACACAAGCATTATTTATTCAGCAAAAATGATCATGACTGGGCGACGTTTTCTGTTGTGGGAAGTTCTTCTACGTTTTTTCTGATTTTCTGGTAGAAGAGTTGATTTTTCTGTGCACTATTTGAATTTATTCTGTCCCTTAAGGCCTGTTTAATCTACTGGAAACTGTAAGTACCCATTGTTTTGAAGTAATTGATTATTCAGGTAAAAAAGATTTTTTTCTAAGTTTTACAATTGTTTAGAATAAATCCAGGTTGTGTCAATCAATAATCACACAAGAGAATTGGTGTCTTTCTGTATCCTTCCACAAAAGAGAGGACCTGGATCATCCTCTAACTTTGATGTTCGGCCATCAATAACCTGCATAGCAAGTACAGGTACCCGAGACAGTTACTACCCTCCATGTCTAAAATCTGGCGGCAGGCTGAGGGTTTATCTTTGACCATAGGTTAAATTAGCTGGGGCAAGAAGGTAAAACATCAAAAATCACAACAGGAGACGAAGATTTATCAGAGCAGGTTTATATAAAGGCTTAGCTCTATCTTCAACTACCGCAGTACAAGAAATTCAAAGCTAGTTTATTTTTATTATAATATGTCGTTGAGGTTGTCTGGAGGAGGGAGAAGAATTTTTTGCTTTCTAAAACTAATATTTTGCTTCTTCTAAAATGGTTCAATCCCATTTATAGTTTTCCTAATTTCCAACTTTAGAGAAACAAAAAAATTATGAGAATATCTGTGGTAGCAGATCTCGTTTTCACTCTTTGATAGATGGTACTTTATTAATTTAATGTTAAAAATAAATTTTGTTTTATCAATAAACAAATATTTTGTAGATATTAATTTGCTAAACTTTAATAGTAAATTTTATTTTGTTTTGACTGTTTTAATAATTCATCTTTGTTTTAGACAATGTTAATAATACCACACAATAGAACGGTGTCTTTCTGCATCCTTCCACAAGAGGGCACCTGGATCATTCTTTGACTCTGATGTTTGGCGATTTGGGACCTGCATAGCATATATGGGTACCCGAGGAAGTTACCACCTTCTATGTCTATTAGCCGGGTTATGCTTATATAATCTTTGACCGAGGGTTCAATCAGCTGCAGGCAGATGATATGATCAGGAGACCAAGATTTATTGATAAATGGAGAGATAGCTATGACTAGCAGCTCATCTTGTATTTCTAAACATTAGATTACAAGGGAATTAAAAGTAAAGTTTTATTTTTTATATTAATTAATATATTTAAGATAGAAAAAAAAATCTATTTGTAATAGGTTTTGGTTTGTTGAATCAAGTTGTTAAATAAACCTAAAAAAATTAAAGTACACGTAAAATGAATTAATTTTGAATTTAGTTCATTTTAATTTTGATTACTGATTTTATCCTTTACAAAAATGTAATACCGTTAAGAACAATGTTAATTTCTTTTTCATTTTTAGGTATACGTCAGGTTTGCGTCAGTTCATTTACAAGAGTATTGAAAAACTGTGGCGACAAGAGTTTTTGCGACACGGAGTTATTTGAATGGTACTTGGCAACACGGCACTGCAAATACTGCGACACTGGCTGTGTTCAAACAATTTTCACCTTTAAAAGATGTAAGTTTTTTTTGTAATACAGTATTTTCTAGTAATACCACATAGAGAAACGCGTGTATGTCCCCAGATTGCCTTTAAAAGACAAAAACCTTTTTTATTATTCACGTTTTGAGTAAATAATAATATTTTGCTAGATATAAGTTGCTAAACTTTAATAGTAAAGTGTTTATTTTGTTTTGAGTGTTTTAAATATATCTCGTTTTGTTTTAGACATGTGAATAATATCACACAAGAGAACGGTGTCTTTCTGCATCCTTCCACAAAAGAGGGCACCTGGATCATTCTCTGACTCTGATGTTTGGCGATTGGGGACCTGCATAGCATATATGGGTACCCAAGGAAGTTACCACCTTTTATGTCTATTAGCCGGGTGATGCTTATATAATCTTTGACTGAGGGTTCAATCAGCTGCAGGCAGATGAATATGCATCAGGAGACAAAGATTTATGATAAATGGAGGATAGCATGACATAGTTTAGCTCAATCTTGTATTTCTAAACACTAGATTACAGGATAAAAATGGTTTAGTGTATTATAGATAGAAAAAAAATCTATATGTAATAGTTTTTGGTTTGTTGAATCAAGTTGTTAAATAAACCAAAAAAAATTACACGTAAAACGAATTAATTTTGTATTTAGTTCTTTTTAATTCTGATTTACTGGTTGCCTATCCTTTACAAAAATAAATTTAATACCATTAAAAGCAACGTTAATTTCTTTTTCATTTTAGGAATACGTCAGGTTTGCGCCAGTTCATTTACAAGAGTATTGAAAAACTGTGGCGACAAGAGTTTTTGCGACACGGAGTTATTTGAATGGTACTTGGCAACACGGCACTGCAAATACTGCGACACTGGCTGTGTTCAAACAATTTTCACCTTTAAAAGATGTAAGTTTTTTTTGTAATACAGTATTTTCTAGTAGTACCGCATAGAGAAACGCGGGTATGCCTTTAAAAACAAAAACCTTTTTATTAAAAAAAAAAAAAAAAAAATAATAATATTTTGCTAGATATAAGTTGCTAAACTTTAATAGTAAAAGTGTTTATTGTTTTGAGTGTTTTAAATATATCTCGTCTTGTTTTAGACATGTTAATAATACCACACAAGAGAGAACGGTGTCTTTCTGCATCCTTCCACAAAAGAGGACACCTGGATCATTCTCTGACTCTGATGTTTGGCGATTGGGGACCTGCATAGCATATATAGGTACCCAAGGAAGTTACCACCTTCTATGTCTATTAGCTGGGTGATGCTTATATAATCTTTGACTGAGGGTTCAATCAGCTGCAGGCAGATGAATATGCATCAGGAGACAAATATTTATGATAAATGGAGGATAGCATTACATAGTTTAGCTCAATCTTGTATTTCTAAACACTAGATTACAAGGAATTAAAAGTAAGTTCTATTTTTATATTAATTAATATATTATAGATAGAAAAAAAAATCTATATGCTTAATAGTTTTTGGTTTGTTGAATCAAGTTGTTAAATAAACCTAAAAAATTAAAGTACACGTAAAATGAATTAATTTTGAAAAATAAAAACATTTTAATTTTGATTTACTGGTTGCCTATCCTTTACAAAAAAATGTTGTACAAATTAAGAACAATGTTAATTTCTTTTTTCATTTTAGGTATACGTCAGGTTTGCGTCAGTTCATTTACAAGAGTATTGAAAGACTGTGGCGACAAGAGTTTTGCGACACGGAGTTATTTGAATGGTACTTAGCAACACGGCACTGCAAATACTGCGCGCGCGCGCGCGCGCGCGCGCGCGCGCGCGCGCGCGCGCGCGCGCGCTGAAAGTTCAGAGCAATTTCACCCAAAAGATGTAAGTTTTTTTTTGTAATACAGTATTTTCTAGTAATACCATAGAGAAGCAACGTGTATGTCCCCAGATTGCCTTTAAAAAACAAAAAAAAAAAACACTTTTTTATTATTCACGTTTTGAGTAAATAATAATATTTTGCTAGATATAAGTTGCTAAACTTTAATAGTAAAGTGTTTATTTTATTTAACATTAAAAAAAAAAAATATCTGTTTTGTTTTTGAACATGTGAATAATATCACACGAGAGAACGGTGTCTTTCTGCATCCTTCCACAAAAGAGGGCGCCTGGATCATTCTCTGACTCTGATGTTTGGCGATTGGGGACCTGCATAGCATATATGGGTACCCAAGGAAGTTACCACCTTCTATGTCTATTAGCCGGGTGATGCTTATATAATCTTTGACTGAGGGTTCAATCAGCTGCAGGCAGATGAATATGCATCAGGAGACAAAGATTTATGATAAATGGAGGATAGCATGACATAGTTTAGCTCAATCTTGTATTTCTAAACACTAGATTACAAAGAATTAAAAGTAAGTTTATTTTTATATTAATTAATATAATATAGATAGAAAAAAAAAAATCTATATGTAATAGTTTTTGGTTTGTTGAATCAAGTTGTTAAATAAACTAAAAAAATTAAAATACACGTAAAATGAATTAATTTTGTATTTAGTTCTTTTTAATTCTGATTTACTGGTTGCCTATCCTTTACAAAAATAAATTTAATACACCATTAAAAAGCAACGTTAATTTCTTTTTCATTTTAGGAATACGTCAGTTCATTTACAAAAGTATTGAAAAACTGTGGCGACAAGAGTTTTGCGACACGGAGTTATTTGAATTGTACTTGGCAACACGGCACTGCAACTACTGCGACACTGGCTGTGTTCAAACAATTTTCACCTTTAAAAGATGTAAGTTTTTTTGTAATACAGTATTTTCTAGTAGTACAACATAGAGAAACGCGGGTATGCCTTTAAAAAACAAAACCTTTTTTTTATTATTCACGTTTGAGTAAATAATAATATTTCGCTAGATATAAGTTGCTAAACTTTAATAGTAAAGTGTTTATTATGTTTTAGTGTTTTAAATATATCGTTTTGTTTTAGACATGTTAATAATACCACACAAGAGAACGGTGTCTTTCTGCATCCTTCCACAAAAGAGAGGGGCACCTGGATCATTCTCTGACTCTGATGTTTTGCGATTGGGGACCTGCATAGCATATATGGGTACCTAAGGAAGTTACCACCTTCTATGTCTATTAGCCGGGTGATGCTTATATAATCTTTGACTGAGGGTTCAATCAGCTGCAGGCAGATGAATATGCATCAGGAGACAAGGTTTATGATAAATGGAGGATAGCATGACATAGTTTGAAAGCTCAATCTTGTAATTCTAAACACTAGATTACAAGGAATTAAAAGTAAGTTCTATTTTTTATGATAATTAATATATTATAGATAGAAAAAAAATCTATATGTAATAGTTTTTGGTTTTGTGGAATCAAGTTGTTAAAATAAACCAAAAAAATTAAAGTACACGTAAAATGAATTAATTTTTGTATTTAGTTCTTTTAATTCTGATTTACTGGTTGCCTATCCTTTACAAAAATAAATTTATACCATTAAAAGCAACGTTAATTTCTTTTTCATCTTAGGAATACGTCAGTTCATTTACAAGAGTATTGAAAAGCTGTGGCGACAAGAGTTTTTGCGACACGGAGTTATTTGAATGGTACTTGGCAACACGGCACTGCAAATACTGCGACACTGGCTGTGTTCAAACAATTTCACCTTTAAAGATGTAAGTTTTTTGTAATACAGTATTTTCTAGTAGTACCACATAAAGAAACGCGGGTATGCCTTTAAAAAACAAAAACCTTTATTATTATTCATGTTTGAGTAAATAATAATATTTTGCTAGATATAAAAAAAAAAAGTTCAAACATTCTTTGGTAAATTTTAATTACTAGTTTAAAAATATATTATTTACAATTGTGTGTAACATTTAACAATGTAATTTATAATAATAATACAATACTGTCTAATGGAACATATTATTTGGTGTTCCAGGTTCCGGATTTTTATCAGAAGAACAGACAGTCCCGCGCAGGTTAGAATGCTGAACACGCACAGTATCAAAAATCCTGAAAATAAAGAAATAGTAAAAATAATAAAATTAATATTTTAGAGGTATTTTTTAGAAAAATGCATTTTTAAATTAATTACCTTCACCATTTTGTCAAGAAGGTCAATATTATTTTTACTGTAAATTTGCACTTTTAAAAAAAAATAAAAAAATGAATGAGTTATAACTCAAAGGGGACACAAAGATCTTTAATTATTATATTATCATAGTTTCATAGTTGTCGATTTTCGAAAAATCAGTATGTATTTCGTTAAATTTTCGAGAAAGAAAATTAATAAAATAGGAAGTAAAGTTGGTATATATTTTTTTTATTAAATAAATTAAAAAAATACATGTTACGTAACATATTTTGGCTTATAAACATTTCATAAATTTATACTACATATTTCTATTAAAAATATATTAAATCTTACAATAATTTTATTTGACTATGCAAAGTTACAAACATTCTTTGGTAAATTTAATTACTAGTTAAAAAATATATTATTTACAATTGTGTGTAACATTTAACAATGTAATTTATAATAATAATACAATACTGTCTAATGGAACATATTATATGGTGTTCCGGGTTCCGGATTTTTTTGTATATTCCCCATTGAAGATATAGAACAGAACGCGGACTTGCGATAGGAACACTTCGTTTTGATCACACTGATCTCATTTTTTTAATTCTACGATTTTTTTTATGTAAAATTTAGATAAAATGATTAAATTCTGTTATTTGTACATACATTCTTAGTACAAACGCAAATGTTTTTACATAATTTAAGTTAAAATTTAAATATTTATATTTTTTTTTTTTTTTTTTATAGAAAATATATTTAGTTAATTCTAGTTGTAAAATTACGGAATCCAAATTATCTAAATTTTGTTTTGCATTGTGCAGTGTTATCAAAACGAAGTGTTCCCTATCGCAAGTCCGCGTTCTGTTCTATATCTTCAATGGGGAATTAAAAATCCAGACCCGGAACACCATAATATGTTCCATTAGACAGTATTGTATTATTATTATAAGAATTACATTGTTAAATGTTACACACAATTGTAAATAATATATTTTTTTAACTGAAAATAAATTACCAAAAATGTTCAACAACATAGTCAAACTCATGTGTAGACTATTACAATAAATGAAACGCTGGTGACCTGTAAACTATGTTCCACGCTGCTCTCCTTGCAATTGAAAAAAAAGTAACACTGATAGTACTGCTGTAAAAGCCCAACGAAATGACTGCTCAATATGATTTCTTTCGCTGACTGTGCTCGTGCTTGTGTCCCCGCACAGTTCTTTCGATGAACGCCGTTGTGTGATATACAATGTGACAGCTAACATTAAATATACAGTAACTGAAAATACTTTCAAGGTAATTTAAAACTATTAATTTATTACCAACTATTTATTTATGTTCCGGGATTTTGATGCGTCAACGTGCGAACTGTCTGATAAAATCGAATCAATATGTTCCGTGTATTATTATTATAAAATTACATTATATTTTTTTTTTTTTTTTTTTTTTTTTAACTAATAATTAAATTTACCAAAGAGTAATTTGGATGCACATAATCTGTTATTGTTGCTCAAAACGACAGAATAATAACAAGGTTTTGTTTTTAAGGCATGCCACATTCCTGTTAGAAAACTGTGATACAAAATACACATCTGAGGTGAATGCAATTTGGCCAGTATTTTGTGCATGTACCATTCAAGTAACCGATGATCGCAAAAATGCTGATACTTTACAGTTGTCTTTAATGTGAACGACCTACAAAATGAAAAAGAAAGTAACGTTGCTTTCATGTTGGATAGATTATTTTCTAAAGGATGAGCAACCAAATCGATTAGCAAGCTGGGTAATTCATTTGCGACCCTTCCACAGGTTTGTTAACTGACTTGGATGTTCGACAAACAACCGTCTATGAATTTTTTTCTGTATAATATGACCAGTGTATATAGAACTTACTGTTAGAAAATACAATTGCAGCTAAATATATTTATCCTCGACATCTGAATGCATGTTCATCTGCCTGCAATGTTCCCTCGATCCCATGCCCGGCTGCTGTCTTGAGTTGAGTCGAGAGTGATCAGGTGCTGCTTTGTGGAAGGATGCCATTCTCTTGTGTGGCATGTCTGAGACCTTAAAACACTCAAGCGCTGCTGAAAGTTTGGCAGCCATCTAACAATATTGTTTGAAACGATGAATAATAAAGGTTTTTGTTTTTAAAGGCATACCCGTTCTAAATACTGTATTGAAACTTACATCTTTGGGTAATTTGAACACAGCCAGTAATGCAGTACTGCTATGAAGTAAATTATAAATGAGAAAGAAATTAACGTTGCTTTTAATGTTATTAAGTATTTTTGTAAAGTCAGTAAAAAGAACTAAGCATAATACAGGTGTGCTACGGTTTTTTTAACAACTTGATTCAACAAGCCAAAAACTATACATACTCAGATTTTTCTATCTATAATATATGAGTGTTAAAATGGAACTTGCACAATTCTTAATGTCTGTCTTTAGAAATACAGATGAGGCTTAAACAAATGTCCTCCATTTATCTTGCTGATGCTCCTGATGCATATTCATCTGCCTGCAGCTGATTAAGCATCACCCAGCTGTGACAGCTCATGATTGCCCATGTGACGATGCCCTCTTTTGTGGAAGGATGCAGAAAAACACCGTTCTCTTGTGTGTTATTATTAACATGTCTAAACAAAACAGTATATTAAACACTCAACAATTGGTACTGAAATATTTTATTGACTCGCTGAAATATTTTAATCATTAGTAATAACAAAATCTGTGCAGTCTTCTCTGGTGGGCTCTAAAAATGAGTAGGAAAACATAAATGAGACTGTGACCCCAGCTCATCTTGACTTTTAACTCTCTCAAGTAATCTCAGCACATATGGTACAAAACACTTGAGCTGGTGAAGATGAAACTAACTATGCCTCGCCGTCTCCTGACAGACACGGTGTTTCTGCCCCAGCAACATGGTCAAGACAAACCGGCCTCCACCGCCACGGAGGTAATACTATCTCGAGCCTGCTTTATATGCAGTATGACCAGGCATCAAGAGCAGAGGAATATTTTCCATTTTTGCCACGAATTTGAACACAAAAAGGGCCTGCGCTGGAGGTGACGCCGAGCCGCCAGCTCGTCACTTGATCAAAGAACTTAATTTAGGGGGTGGCGCCTGCAGTGGGGGACCCTGTACGCTCGCGCGACTAATAAAATGCTTGAGCCCCCTTTACAGGAACGTAATTACTCTGCTTTGGAGTACTAGAGGAAAAAAATCGGCTTTGGTGACTTCTTATTTTAGCGACAAAAGCTTGAGAAATGTGTTATAGAAAGAATAAAAAATGTCTGTCTATACGTAAGTGGCGGAGTGATCTTTCCAAAAAATCCTATATGGGTATTTCGCCCCTGCAAGAAAATCTACAAAATAAAATAGTTATTTTTTGTAAACACTGCTGCCTTGATCCAAACGGAAACTACTTGTCAGAACATAGGTTTACAGATATACAAATTTACCTAACGAACAAAAAAATGCTTAACGTTTCGGAAAATTTATCTCTTTCCGTCGTCGGAAGCAAAAAAAACAAAGAATAAAGAAAAAAACTATTTAAAATATTTAAATTCAACTATTCGAGAACACTTTAGTTTTCTTAAACAGATACGTCTACAAAAAACCGTTGACGTTCTGTTTAAATGACATTTTTTTTTATATCAAGTTAACTTCAAAATTAACAATTTCTACCTGGTAACAATTACTTAATAAGGTAAAACCAAAAAGCCCCAAACTTTCTGTATGATTATTTTTTATTTTAAGTATGTTATGTTCTTTAAAATGAAAAAAGCGATTGCCATACATTACTAACATCTACAGATGCATGAGCAATACATTTATTTTTATTAGATTGTTTTATAAAAGCCTCTTTTATTTTTCTTTTAGAGGCTATCGCTTCTTTGATTATAATTTTGGCGTTATTAAAATTTATTCTGTGCCCTGTGTCTATGAATGCTGACAAATCTTAGATTTGTGAAAATGTCTCTTTCTTAAATAATCTTTATGTTCTTTAATTCGAACTAGGGTCTAGATGTCTCGCCAATGTAAAATTTATCGCATTCACATATTATGGTATTTTATATATTACATTTTTTGTTTGTTGTTCTGTATTCATTATATTATTTTATTTTATATACAGGTTGAATTTCCTACGATGTTCTCTATGGGTATCTCGGAAACTACTGGAGATAGAGAGTAGGTTAAATGGCGAAAGAATTGCAGTTTTGTGTGGTCATAAATATACGCCTTTCAGATTTTTGAATAAGTTTTTTTCTAAAGCCTGTCATTTTTGACATATGACACAAACATATGTTTTTTTAAATGGAAACCATAGTTGGCCATGACTTTATAAAAAGCGCCATTTTTTAAGCTTTTCAGCGATATAAGCTGTAATATGTTTTCCTCGAAAAATTATCGAGTTATGGCCAATTATCATTTTTAAATAATTTCACTTAGCCATGGAAACAAGTTTAATCGTCTTTGCTCTCATAAATGTGAAGCTGCCACATCCAAACTTTGTAAATTAAAATAAACAAAAATTGTAAATATGAATTTTTCAAATGAAAAAAAGCGTGTAAAATTATTTAACGGTGAATGTTATCTTTTTTAGAGAACGATTTTCAAGACTTGTTAGAAAAGTTAAATTTAGTTATAGCCAATTCTTATCTTTCTTCACTAATTTCACTTAGATTGCATGGCATTCTTATTCTGTTATGATTTATAACTTAAAAGTCAGAATATATTACTAAACGGTTCTTTAGAATTTACATTACACAAACTTAAACTTAAAAAATAATATCACTGCAGTCACTGCATAGACTTTAAGTTATTTTAGAAAATGTTCAAAAAATCCGCCATTGTTTTGAGTACATAAATGCATCTTTTTAAAACTGAATTATTACCTATTCTCACAGAAGGACCGGTCGACTTAATCAAACTTCTCTCGTACCGGCACTTCGAGTACCTCTCTTAATTCATAAGTTCTTTTGTTAACCTTATTGTTAACCATACCGCATAAAAAAATCTAAAATGAATAGGTCAGGTTATCGAGGAGGCCCATGCAATTAGTCCACCTCTTCCTATCCCTGAGTTTATATTATTATCAAAATAAAAACACTAAATCACCACAATACACCAAAACACTTTTACTTTTACACTGGACGCGCGTTTCGCTAACCATGTTAGTATCATCAGCAGATGATTATAAACTACAGTTTTGAGTTTATAATCATCTGCTGATGATGCTAACATGGTTAGCGAAACGCGCGTCCAGTGTAAAAGTAAAAGTGTTTTGGTGTATTGTGGTGATTTAGTGTTTTTATTTTGCTGTGTAACACCAAAGGTTCCAACCCTCAACTGTAATTATATTATTATGATATAAATAATTTTTAACATTTCTTTCATTGGGGGGGGGTCATAATGAAAGTCATGTTGGAAATACTCTATTCATGCGCGAGTATCTACACGCTTTTCTTCATTTGAAAAATTCATATTTACAATTTTTGTTTACTTTAATTTACAAAGTTTGGATGCGACAGCTTCGCATTTCTGACAGCAACGGCGATTGAACTTGTTTCCATGGCTAACTAAGTGAAATTGTTTATAATTGATAAAAATTGGCCAAAAACTCAGTAATTTTTGGAAGAAAACGTATTATAGCTTATATCGCTAAAAAGGCTTAAAAAATGGCGTTTTTTATGAAGTCATGGCCAACTATGGTTTCCATTTAAAAAAACATATGTTTGTGTCATATGTCAAAAATGACAGGTTTTAGAAAAAACGAAGGACACAATCTCATTAAGGATGTGATTATCTACAACTTTTATCTGAAAACTTTTTGTCTAAAATAGCTTATAATGGAATTAGGGACAATTTTTAAAATAGCCGAAATTTGTTTTTTTCGAAATATCTAGTAAGCCATGAA